TGTTCCACATAATGGTGACCCATCGACGTGATACCTAAATAAAATTTTCGTTGTGCACTAATAAAGATATGAAGTAGGCGCTCGCCACCATATCCTGAAAAAAAATAAATACGAAAGTACGAAGTAGACGCTCGTCACCGTACAGTCATAGTTCAGCATTGTGTGCAGTAGACGCTTGTCACCACACTAGCTGAAAAAATAAATAATACACCGGTAAAAATCAGGTGCAGGTAACGCAGTAGGCGCTAGCCACCGTAAACCACACCACCCAACGTGCCCTCGTGCCGTTATCAGCGCTTTTAAGCCCGTGCCCTCGTGCCGTGGACTTAACCTCCAATGAGCCCTTGTGCCGTGGAGTAAAAACAAGGCCTTGTGACGGCTTTCAGCCGGTGATAAATAAAATGACGGCTTTCAGCCGATAATAAATAAAAAGACCTATCTAAGCGAAAGTGCATTTAGGCAAAAATGACGGCTTTCAGCCGATAATAGTCAAAAAAGACCTATCTAAGCGCAAAAGTGCATTTAGGCCTAAAAGACCTATCTAAGTCTCAGTACATTTAGGCTAAAGCCCTGTCTAATCGGAGTTAAGAGAAGAAAAAGTATAAATTTGAGTGAGAAAAAAAAGTATACATCTGAGAGAGAAGAAAAAGTATAACCTAAGTGAGCAGAAAATAAGGTTATGATCCGAGACTGATATGAGTTATAAGATCGAGAATAAAGAAAAGTGAGCAGAGATATAACAATGGAATAAAATACATAATACTACAGTAAATATGAAGAAAGGAGGATTTACTAGTCAAGCAAACCCCAGCGCGAATGAAGCAGAAATCTTAAATAAAAGAAGCTACAGAGGAGTTGAAAATTCGAAAGGAAAACATGGAATATCAACTGCCCAGATTTGTGAACTCTATGGAAACAACTTCCGAAACAAGCTCACCTGAGATAAGTAAAATAAAAGCCCAGCATGCCAGTTGTACCAACTTGATTTTTGAATATTCAAAAGTAACAGGTGCATTAAAGCACCTACAGAAAAATGTGTAGAATCCTGAGGAGATAAACCCCTGACTCAACAATGCATGCAATGACTGCATTGGATGACAATGTCCCTGACCCTGATGAATTTTTGTATCATTTTCAATTTGCTCATGTAAAGAAGAGAGAATGAGCATAATGGAGAAATAAAGCGAGTTTAACATACATGGATTTTCATGTAACTTAGCATTGTTGTATGTATGATGTATTTATACTTTTAATAACCCTCTTGAATAGAGATGAATGATTTGAGGAATTCATTGTAAGGAAAAGTAAAGACATTTAAAGAAATATTTCCAAATTAAATAAAAAGCTGAAAGACTGTGGAAGACTAATAAATACTGCTGAAATGAGGAGATAAAAAAGACGTGTTGACAAATGAGTCTGAGTTCAGTGGTTTACATAATAAGAATGCAGATCCTTATTGATCGAATGTTCAAAAATGATGAATGTTCAAATTGAGTAAAGATCAAAAAGTATTAAAAATCCCGTATTGGCCATCAGTCGTACTGACAGCGATTCTTACCCATAGTCTGAATTTCTAGCTGTGGGGATTAGATCTCTGGATGAGAAAGAACGTGAATAAGATTTTACATTTACAATTAGAAACAAGACGGACTAAATTATCTGATATTATCAGACATATCATCATGATCTCAAGTTAATATCAATGTGTAAGATAAATAGTTCGTTTTTCTGTTTCTGTTGTTATCTGGTTTCAGGTAACCTACTAACGACTAAGAGCAAAAAATAATAGAACTAAATCGAGCCCATCCATATCCTGTGCTGTCCTGTCCGTCCTATGTTCTCCTGATGTCCATCTTGTGTTGTCCATATGTATATCCTACATCCTACGCATGAAACCCTGTATGAAACCCTGGCTGAATGCTCATAGCCTACTTTGCGGTATTATAACCACTACCACCCTCCGTGACCCACACTGGACCCCTGGTGAAATGAGAAACGATGATGAAAAGAAACGCAAAAGAAGAAAATAAAATCAAATGATTAGAGTATAACTCAATTAAATGCTGCTGTTTTTGAGCGGTTTTTCCTGTACTTCAAAACATAACCATTTGAAAATCCCTGTGGAGGAAATCAACATCTTGGCAGAGGCACTTGATGACGTCATTCTTCAAAGTATCAACTTGTTCCAAAGAGCCGAAATGGCGAAAGCAGCTCTTGACAGAGTTAGAGATGATATTAGCAGCGTACAAGATGCATATCGACGGTAGAAGACATCGTTGGTTCGTTGGTTATAAGGAACAGAATCAAGCTTTCCTTAACTTCAAACAATCTCTTGCTGAACTTAAGGTAGAGCAACGAAGGCCCGAAGAAGAATAATGAAACATACCAAATCGTGTACCTACCAATCGTGGCATATGGCACTATACACCAGCAGCGTCACTTGCGATACTGACGGTCTCTGTGTAAAGCTACATTGCAGAATGCAACTCACGTATACCCAACTAAATGGGTGAGCAATGTAACCAAAGCAATCGAAACAACGAGTGAGAATCAAGAACCCCCTTGCTTCAACAAAAATAGTGAAGTGAGAGTAGTAATGTTATGTTTTAGAAAGGAACAGCTGATTAACTTTGCAAAACTTCGGAGAAGGCAACAACAATCATTCTGTCAATGCTCATACGAATCAAACAAATCAGAAATCGATCATTCGTGCACTGTACTCTTTTTCCCTTGTCTATGTTTTTATCCAATGGTTTTTCATATGGCTAAGGTTTTTAATGAGGCAGTGCTTCCTGTTGATAATGAAGTTCATAAAAAGAAAATGATCCCGAAGTCCAATTCAAAGTCTTATTTTACTTGAAGTATTGAGAAAAATACAGCAAATTCATCAAATTTATAAACGTCAACAGATGTAACGACAACTGGAATTTGTCTACTTTTTAATGGAATTTCAATTTGACCCTTAAGAACCTCATTGCGTAACGGCAGCGCTTCTGACTCCTCTCGAAAATGCTTGCAAGTTCCTGCAGACAAGAAGAATCAATACGACGTTTACCCAAGCGACGTGGCTTCAAGATCACAGCCAAGTGAAAAATTAGGATGCACTATTTTATACACTTTATTACGAAGGAAAACAAGAACTAACAAATTAAAGTTTAAAATTGGTTAAAATAATAATAAAATAACAAAATAATGTCATAATTAAGATACTGCTAATGTCCTAATGTAATGTGTTCAATTGAGGAAACCTCAAGGGGGGAAGTATGTTAACTCATCAGCTGATGTATTCCTAACCTAGTATTATTAAATAAACTCATAGATGAATGTGGAATATAGGAGTCGTCCCTTTCTTTGATTGAGTGTTCCACAGCGGCGGAATCGGGTGTCCGGCTTATTCCGTCCTATACTCGCAATTTTCCATGGCGCTTAGTTCCGTTTGGCAGAACGCGCTATCCGGCATTCTAAATTCCTCAAAAGGAACTCAGATTGGCGCTAAGTTCCGTTTGACAGAAATACGTCCAAATTTCCTTCGATAACAACCGAGCTTACTGGGAAAATTGTGTATATTTTTCGCCGAAATTTTTAGACAGTTTTGTACGAAATTTGATCTAAAATATCTGAGGATTTTAGGGAAAAATATGCATGAATTCCGTCAGAAATACATGTTTTATCAAGGGAAATTTGGCAACTCTCGAATGTTCATACGGCGTTCTTCCTTAGCGAGGTAGAACGGTCGTGAGTTTTAAAGAGGGTTGAAAGTGCCAACAAACGAAAGTACGTCCTCAGAATGGTGGAGCTCCGCTGAAATATCCTTTTGCAAAGATCGGACATGTTGCCATCTTCCGATAAAACTGTCACAAGCGCCATGCGACATTTTCAACAATTTCCACCGCCATTTTATTTTTTTACAGAGAAGTTTTTGGTTGAATCTGTTTGAAAATGTCACTCAATTTTATTGGCAGTACCAAAAAAAAAAAAAAAANAAAAAAAAAAAAAAAAAAAAAAAAAAAAAAAAAAAAAAAAACTCAGTGAAATTTTTGACAGCTTCGTTGAACAATTTCTCTGCATTAAAATAAAATGGCGGCAGAAATTTTGAAACGTCGCGTGGCGCTTTTAATACTTCGGCCGGAAAATGTGGTTTCTATGATTTAAGAAAATTTTCCTGAAGGGCCATCAGGAAAATAAGGCATCAATTTGAAAATTTTCTCATCTAAAACAATATCTATCCGTAGTAGAAATATCTGAGAGAGGGCGCGTGCCAGGTCTCAAATTCCGAATTCATCCAAGGGGCCTTCGCTACCGACATCACCTTGAATGCATCTATTCATTCTCGACGGATCGCCGAGTTGCAGATGCAAAATCATGAAGGGGCTTTCTTTGCGCTCGACACTAAACGCATCGCGTTGAAGCGCTTGAGAGATATCACTCCTCCAATACGCAGAAATTTATTTCAGAAACAGCACATTTGTGTATTATTTTCCTTTTGCAAATACGTGATTTTAATAAGGAGCCAAAAAGGTGGTCTCCTATCGCAAAATGTAGTTCAATTAGGCAGGTAAGGCACTAGAAGTCTAATTTTGAAGTTCAAAATATGATGCCAGCGGTGTTTCAAATGGAAGTATTTGAACATTTGCGCGGAACAAAACGATGATTGTGAAACATGTGTTTCAGGTAGTTTTAACAACGGGATCATACGAGAGGTGCACACATTCATCACTGAAAAAATTGATGTTGTTTTAGCACCTGGGGTGTCAAAAATGTGTCCGGTGATCCCACGATGCTGCTTTTACTGCTTCCGTAGTTAAATTTACATCCTGTGAGTGCACAGTCAACTGCGCGGGCAATCGAGGCTGCATCTTAGGATCACCAGACACATTTTCGACATCGTAGGTGCTAAAACAGTATACCATTTTCTTCAGTGAGGACTAATCACGGACGCAAAACTTGGTAAATAATTGAGGTAAAAGTATTTCAAACTTTTGTAAGAATTGGAAAATTACCTGTGGGACTAGAGGGTGGGGCGGAGTGAAGGCGGGACCAGGCGGTGTACCAGTGTTTGTCTATCGAGGGTGGGTGACTGGGGTATACGCTCAGGAACGGACTCCGACCTGCGGCAGCGGCCGCCAGGGCACCCCAATGCGTCATAATTCCTAGCCTGAAAATCAAACACAAAATTTCATGAAATAAATTCTCAATTAGAGAGGAATTTATGGAATCACTGGAAAAAAAACACATTGGATCTAGAGTCTAGACTATTATAACATCGACAAGAAAAAGTACTCTTGATTCAATCAGAATCTAGCTTAAATCAAGAACCAAGTCTCTTAATTTTAGCGGATTTTGTCTTGATTCAAGCAAAAATTCGATTGAATCAAGAGTATTTTTTCTTCTCAATGTTTTCAAGAGTCTGCACTATAGATCCAGTGTGTTTTTTTTCCAGTGATTGAACAAATGAATGACATCTACACTGGATGTTTTGAAAACAAGACTTTAGAGCAATATAGCTTAAAATAAGGAGCGTGACAGAGAAAAAGGGCAGAGAGTCACTTTTTCAAAATTTCAGAGGATCTTAAAGATCTTATCACCTTCCGGCCAAAATATCACGAGCGCCGTGCGACGTTTCAAAATTTCCGCCGTCATTTTATTTTTTTACAGAGAAATTGTTGGTTGAATCTGTTTGAAATTTTACTGAATTTTATCGGCAGCTCAAAGAGAACTCAGGGGCAGTTTCGGACAAATTCGTTGAAAAATGTCTCCGTATACAAATAAAATGACGGCGGGAATTTTTAAACCTCACACGGCCCTTTAATAATTTGGCCGGGAGGCGACGATATGATTTTTTAATGCGCGGGAAGTTTGAATCCATGCATCGAAAAAAAAAAATGAGTTACTTTGCGTAGTTTTTCATTGTACAGATCGTGTTCTACGTAAAATTTTGATGAGACTTCGTGTTACATTTCCCTTCAATTTTTATCCGGAAAATGTGACAGGTTACAGTAACTAGGGTTCCATCTTGCTAAGACCCGTCCATTTTTTGTCCACACATCAATGACAATATCAATTTGCTCGATTCTCTTTTTGGAAAATATGTAAAACGCTTTTTGTTTCTTCCCCAAAAGGATCGGTTAGACGGAGCAAAAAGGTAGGAACAAAACTGGTGTGCTAAGGAAGAACGCCGTATGAACATTCGAGTGTTGCCAAATTTCCTTCGATAAAATGTTTATTTTTTAGGAAAGCTATGAATATTTTTCCTTTAAATTTTCAGAATCTTTAGGTGGAAGTGCGAACTAAATTATCTGAAAAATCGGGAGGAAAATATTCATAAATTTCCCAGGAATTTCGCGTTTTATCAAAGGAAATTTGGCAACGCCTGAAGGTTTATACGGTGTTCTTCCTTAGCACGGCGGAAGAGGATGACGCGATCCGCAAAATTCCAAATGCACCCTGTGCGCCCGTTCACTCCATCACCTCGCACCCTTCTTCCCTCTCACTTCGACTTGTCCCCGCTTCGCGAACTTGGATTGTTTTAAACCTCGTAGCTTTTTCCGCGCCAGCCCCCAAGGGAAGGGGGGGAGGGAGGATGGGGTGTCAGAAAATGGATCTTCATTCTCGGCGAATGCTTCTTAGTGAATGGTTCACTTTATGTAGTCCCATCGGGCCTCCCCTTGAGGAAATTTTCGAGGAGGGGCGGCCTCCCCCTCTCCTCCCTCTCCCCCTCTTTGGGAGGAAAACACGATCTAAAGTCCCCGTCATCCGCTTTTTCCTCACTTCTGCGCTTAGTATCTTGTCGCCGGTTTATTCTATTTCGACATAACTCTCAACTTGTAGCTTTTTAACCTTGTCGTTTTTTCTCGCCCGGGGACCCCGCTTTCCCGCTTTATTCTCGAGACTGTGGTTTGGATCCGCGTTGCCGTGTGCTCGGAGGAAGCTTGCGAACTTATCGTGCGTTATGTGGAAAAGTTTGAAAGCTTTCCATCGGTTGGCAAACCTGGGGATTTTTCATGGTTTTGTGGTCTCTCGGCGGAAGCGATGACGTTATATCGCGGAGCGCACAATAAACGAGGGAATGTAAGCCATTAGTGGATCGCAGCTCAATTTATATTATTTACACTTTGAACTACATATTCAAAGTAAAGTTCGTTCAAGATTTTAACCACTCGGGAAATAAATTAGAATCTCAATTGGGTGGGGTTTTTTATTTTTTATTTCCGCGGAGGTATACAAGATTTTTTTTTTTTCCCAAATCTGTGGCGAACCAATTTGTATTTTATGTATGTGGCCCAACGCATGGCAAACGACGCACCTGATATGCATACAACTTACGTTAATATTATATCTCTATTGCCGCAATCACACGCTGAATGTGGGAGCTGAATGTTGAAGTCATCGGCCGGATGCCTGAATGTTCCGCGTGTCGCACAAAATTCAGCAACGATTCTTAGCGACCATCGGAAAATGTCGGATTTGTCTAAACTATTCGAATAGATTTGATACACGTCTGGATGAAAGTAACTCGAATTTGCAATGGCTCTGGCTAGTCCGAGCCTGAGTTTAAATTACAATATTTAAAATATATTGTGATTTAAATATTTATGTGACGAAAAAAAAATACGGAAGAAATACTTACGCAAGAGTATTTGAAAATATGAAATTAGTATTCCGGCAAATATATACTCAATCAGTATAGATCAAATACCCACAGTAATGGCTTAATGTTATCCTCATAGCACGGGCACAATTTTAACGCGATATTGACGCGATTCCATTGTTCACTCACATTAACGCAATATTAAGCCGATGGCTTCCCATAAATTTTGACCTTCACTTAAAATTTTGTGTTTTAACATTTAAACCATCAATTTCTTTCGTCTAATTGTAAGTATCTATCTGATCGGAAGTGTTCTCATCATCTACGTTGTATTGGTACAACGCTGGCCGATATTTTCCTCCAAAAGATCACCCCTATATATTGAGTTTGTTCTCCGGCTACAAAATGCCGCCCTTACCCTTTTCAATCGCCGCTTTGAAATTTAAAGTTTTGATTCGCTCAAATCATTGGCTGTATAAGTAAACGAAAATAATCAGCCTATTACACTTAAGTGCGTCAGGATCTGCCTCAGCCCTAACGCTCTCCAATTGCCGGATCTCAGGCGGAGCTCCAGGGCCAGGGCGAGGGGTTGGGGCGAATTAGGGGAGGGTTGAAAAGGGGATTAAGATTAACGGTGTCGCTACGAGGTCGGGTTGGGAAACGAAAGAGGGGGACGGGCTCCGTCTTAAATTCGAGCAAACTAAGATGCTCCTTAAAAGCCCCGGGAAACCTCATCAAGGATTCACGAGCTGCACTTGAGCTACTAAACTAGTCTTCGTTAAATGCATTAAGTTCAAGTGATATTTTATTCCTTGCTGAGGGCGGGGTTGGCACGTGGTACAATGCCTTCATCTCAATAGAATTTGAAGAAAAATGTTATACAGCGACAAAAAAAAAAAAAAAAAAAAAAAAAAAAAAAAAAAAAAGTAACCGACATTTTGTATTAATTACACGGAAAGAACACGCAAAGTAACTTGGATATGCGATGAGTGTTTTTGGTTAACTTTTCTTTAGGGGACATTGACCAAATCTTCGGGTTGAAAATTTCCAACCTCATTAAAAATCAGGATCGGAACTGGATCGCGTTGTCAATGATCCAATGCATTAGTCGCTCCTTAGTCGGAACCTCTCCGTGACAAGGAGAAAAACAAGAGTATAGCAGTTCAACAGGAGAGACTTCCTTCATTCCGAAATGTCTCAGAGTAACCTACGGTTTTAGTCAATTCAATCAAAAGTTTGTGCAAAAATTTGGTTGATCAACCAAGCCCGGTCACCGGTGGCTCATACATCTAAATCAAGTATCTCGCTTCATCGTTCCACAAGAACCTAACGCCCTGCGCCTGTCAAATTACCATAGATTTGTGAATACCACTATTCGTGGTCGACGATTACCCGTATTGCATGCCAAAATATTGAAGGCACACTGGTTTCAATCGTACTTGCCCGTACATGCGACATTACGCGTTTGCGCCGCCCAGCGCCTTGCCAAATTGCAATAGATTTGTGGATACCACTATTCGTGTTTGAGGATTGCCCGTGTTGCATAGCGAAAAATTGAAGGCGCACTGGTTTTAATCATACTTGCCCGTACCGTATATGCGACATTACGCGATAGCGCCGTAACAAATTACCATAGATTTGTGGATACCACTATTCGTGCTTCAAGATTGCCCAAGTTGCATAGCAAAAAAATGAAGGCGCACTATGATCTCGATCGTACTTGCCCGCATGAGCGACATGACGCGTTTGAGCCGCCCAGCGCCGTGCCAAATGACGATAGATTTTTTGATACCACTATTCGTGCTTGAGGATTGCCCGTGTTGCATGGCAAACTATTGAAGGCGCACTGGTTACAATCGTACTTGCCCGTGCGTGCGACATTACACGTTGGCGCCGGCCACCATCGTCCCAAATTACTATAAGTTTTTGGATACCACTATTCTTGCTCAATGTCTGGGTTGCGTATACGAAAAAATGAAGACACACGGCACTGAGTTCCTTTTCGTGCCATGAAATTATGATTTCCTCACAGGTATAGTTAAGGACGACCACCACTCTTATCGCGAGTGTGATTGCGTATGAAATTGCACTCACACATATCGACGGTGAAACAACCAGACCACGCATCTCCTTTGCGGTGTTTAAAAATCTTTGCTCCCATTTAATTATTTTGAAGGAGAACAAATCAATATCATTCCTTGAAATTTTCACAGAGTTTTCTTCGCACAGAGAGGAATCAACATGCACGGACATTTTCAAGAATTGACATCGAGTAGTTCTCCATTTAAAAAGTAATGTATGACAAGAAGTCTAGAACGTTGCAAACCGAGATACGTGGTCTAGTACGTTCACCATCAATACTCAGCTTTATATGTGTCGAACTCAAAATCAATCTCCGTATGAAGATGTCTAAAGTTAATGAACTATCACTGCTCGATGGGTTGCATATACGAAAAGGTGAAGGCGCTTGGTGCGGAGTTCCTCCGGCGTGGACTTCAACGAGCGCACCCCATGTTTGCCGATGTGCTGGTTACACACTCAAATTCCCATCAATTTCCGATCAAATG